TGAGGAAGAAGAATTGAGAAGGGAGTTCAGAAGGAAGAGTCTTTCAGGGAGACCAGTTACAGAAGAAGGATTGAGAGGGAAGGGTGACTGAATGGCTGTGTAGAGACGAGAGAGAGAGAGAAGAGTTGAGGATAACTCAGAAGGCCTGTTCTCAAGTGACAGAAAAGTAGGGAACAGAGAACAGGGAAGTCAGAAGGAAGTCACAGTGAGGATGAAGAAGCACTTTAGGAAAATAATCAACATAATTGATCATATAAAAAACAAAAACATTCCAAACCATATGATTTATATTAATGGTTGGATTTAAAAGCCTTGACAAAATACAACATTCACTTATGCTGAAATCTGATAGCACCATTTTCTGTAACACTCAAGATTCAAGAGGCATGGGATGGTTTCAGTTGAAGACATGTCCAGTTTCAGGTGATGGCAGGACATCCAAATGGAAGCATCCACCCCTGCGTTGGAGACCAAGGACCATAGCTCAGGGCTGGTAAAGAAGAGGCTCATCCAAGTGGGGGTGACAGCTGCAGCTACTCTCGTCCTTCTGTCACAGCGCTCCCTCCCATTCCTCAACCCTCCTCAGCTGCTTCTTCATCCTCACTGTGACGTCCAGTCTTTCTGCTCCTCAGGCCTTCACTCCCATTCCAGACACCCAGCCTCACTCCTTGGGGAACCCGTTGACCTCTCTATTGTTCTCTGCCTTGGAATCATTTCCCCCCATCCTCCTATAGCTGCTCCTATCTTGCCAAACCCTAATGCTGGATTATTCCTGCCACTTGCCTCTTTAACTCTTCTACTCTGACACTGCTGAATTGAACTGGAGTAAGTCATAACCATGCTAACTGGGTCCACGCCAGACTCGTTATCCGTTGCCAACTGGGCCCTTAACTGTATCAAGATAATACTTTTATTTCTCTCTAATTGAGAGAGGAATCTCCCACCATGACTATTCCAAACCTTCTCATCTTTTCTCAGTCCTTCCTTGGCATCCCGTCTATGACCTTCTCAACTGAGATCATCCCCTCATATTTTACTGACTTCAAGGCTATTCAACATAAAATCCCCTTTGTTCTGCTCTCCTTATCTCACAAGCCCTCAATGGTTTCTTACAACCCTTTGACACCATCCCCCATTGTTTCCTCCTTTACTTCAATCTCTGATAAAAAGATGATCCTCCCCATTAAGTCTTTATGTGCACTCTTGACACCCCATATCTAATTACCTTTTCTAGTAGATTGCTCCTCCCTCTGCTCACTCTAAGTCTTCATTCTCTTCCTATCTAATGGTTCCTTCCCTGCCACCTACAAATATGCTCGACTCCCTTATCCTCAAGAAACCCTAACTAGATTTTACCATATTCACTAATCCTATGTCTCCCTTCCTTTCTTCACCAAACTAAAAAAAAAAAGCTTTCCTCATTTAATACTCTCTCTTCCATTCTCTCTCTTCTAAACCTGCAATCTGGTTTTTGACCTCATCACTCAACTGAAGCTACACCCTCCAAAGTTATCAATGATATATTAATATATTAATTATATATTAATATATATCAATGATATATAATCTAAGACCCTCTTCTGAGTCCTCAGTCCTCAGACTTTTCTGTAGCATTTAGCTCTGTTGACCACTCTGTCTTGGGAACTCTTGCTTTTAGGATTTGTGATGCTCCTCTCTCTTGGATCTCCTCCTTCCTGTATGACCATTCCTTCTCAGCCTCTTTTGCTGGCTCATCATCCATATCGCTTTATCTAACTGTAGGTCCAATTAATTGCCCTGGTCCCGCTTCTCTTTTCTTTATGTATTCTCTCACCTGGTAACCTCATCAACTCCCATGGATTTGAATACCATCTCTATGCAAAATGGTGCTAAAATCTACATTTCTGGTCCTAGTCTCTCTCCTGAGCTCTAGTGCCGCATCACCAACTTTCTGTTGGATAGATGTTTCAAGCTTGATTCCTGTAGGCGTTTCAAAGTCAGTATGTCTGAAATAGAACTCATTATTTTTCCCCACAAACTCTTTGAAGTAATACAGGAGAGTCTTAGCATCTTAGAATTCTCATCCCTCAGGGCTGGAAAGGCATCTCAGGGAGAGCTCTAGTACTTTCTTCCCTATAGAGGAATTCCCCAGCATGTATTCATCCAGCTACTGCTTGGACAGCTCCAGTGAAGGAGAATTCATTACTTCCCTAGGTCACTCATCCCATCATGGGGCAGCTCTGACTGAACTTCCCTGTTACTGTCAAGGGCAAGAGTATCCATCCAGTCACCCAGGTTTGCAATCTTGGTGTCACCCAAGACTCTTCTCATTTAGTTACTCCACGTGTCAAATCAGATGCCAGACCTTGTCATTCTATCTCCACAACATCTCTCTCCTCTCCAACTGCATTTTCTGACCATTTCCATACCATCTTCTCTCAGGCCATCATCACTCCCTTGGCACCTTGGATTCTAACCCAAGAACCACCTTGAACTCTGATAGGCTAGCTTTAGTTTTATCTGGCCTAGATTGAAGTTTCCGCCACACTCCAGGCCAATTCCACAACATGCTTTCTTCACTCAGGCCATCATCTCTATCTCCTCTCCACACTGGAACATTGGATTCCATCCCTGGAACCAGCTTGAGCTCTGACAGTTCAGTTTTGGCTTTGTCTTATCTTCATCCAGGCCTCCACCATACTTTCATGTCATTTGTATCTCCAGCCCTTAGCACAGTGCCTTGGCCCATAATAAGTGCTTAATAAATGCTCCATATCTATCTATCTATCTATCTATCTATCTATCTGTCTGTCTGTCTGTCTGTCTGTCTGTCTGTCTGTCTGTCTATCTTAGGTGAAACTAGCAGATGCTGAAAATAGACCTGCTTGCTATGATATCTTCACCATCTCTGGACCTTTCCTTTTAACCAGTGGGACCTGATCAACTTCAGAGACCCCTCATAATCCTGGTCATAATAGGCAGAGAGATTAACACAACTTACCCAAGGTCACAGAATTAGTTGGATTCAATTTCATTCAATTTAGCAAGTATAGATTAATAACCTGCTATGTGCAAGGCACTATGCTATGTGCTAAGAATAGAAATAAAAAGATAAAGTGGAAAATGGTCTCTGTCCTAAATGAGTTTATAACATGCAGTCTTTGACACGCCAGTATTTTCTTCTTGATACCTTCTTTTCTCTAGGTTTTTGGGAAACCACGCTCTCCTGGTCCTTCCTACCTATCTGACTACTCTTTCTCCATCTCCTTGGCTGCATCTTCATTCAAATCATGCCTGCTAACATGAGTGTCCCCTAAGACTCTGTCCTGGGCTCCCTTCTTTTCTCCCTCTATACTGTTTTGTTCGGTGATTTCATTAGCTCCCATAGATCCATTAATCATCTCTCTATAGATGATTCTTAAAATTATTTATCCAGTCCTAACCTGCAGTCTCACATTACCAACTGTCTATTGGACATCTTGAACTGGTGTTCCCATTGACGTCTCAAACTCAGTATGTCCAAAACTGGAATAACTTTCTTTCCCCCTATACCCTCTCCCCTTCTAAACTCTCCTCTATTTCCACTATCCTTCTAGCCTCCCAGGCTCAAAACCTAGGTGTCATTCTCAACCCCTCAGTCTCTCACCACCCCCATATCCAATTTGTTGCCAAGATTCATTGATTTTGTCTTTACAGAATCTCTTGTATATTCCCCCTTCTCTCCTCTGATACTGCCACCATCCTGCTGCAGGCCCTCCTCATCTCATGCTAGGACTATGGCAATAGTCTGCTGATGGACCTACCTGCCACAAGTCTCTTCCAACTCTAGTCCATCCTCCACTCAGCTGCCAAAGTGATGTTCCTAAAGTACAGGTCTGACCATGTCACCTACCTATTCAATAAACTCTAGGAGCTCCCTATTACCTCCAGGATCAAATACAAAATCTTCTGTTTATCATTCAAAGCCCTTCATGACTTAGCCCTCTCCCTACCTTTCCAATTTTCTTTTACCTTCCACTGTTCCACGTACCCTGTGGTCCAGTGATACTGTCCTCCTTGCTATTCCTCAAACAAGACACCCCATTTCCCAACTTAGAGCATTTTCACTGATTATCACCTAGGCCTAGAATTCTTTCCTTCCTGCCTCCTGGCTTCCTGGATTTCTTCTTAGTTAATATCCTACCTTCTCCAACCGGCCTTCCCAGTCCTCCTTAACACTAGTTTCTTTCTTCTGTGATTATCTCCAATTTATCTTGTCTATATTTTGTTTGTACATCATTGTTTCCATGTTGTTTTCCCCACTAGACTTCCTAGAGAATAGGGACTATTTTTGTCTTTCTCTGCAGCCCTAGCACTTAGTACAGTGTTAGGCACATAGTAGGCACTTAATAAATGCTTTTGTTTTGATAATGTATTGGGGGACATACCAAGTAAATAGGTAAGTAGATACAAGATGAATTGAAGGGGTCAAAACTTTAACAACTGGGAATCAGGAAAATCTTTGATTTAGAGGCTTAACCTTAAGGAAAGAGAAAGATTCAAATTTGAGGAGGCAGCACCTTCCAAGCATGGGGACAGAGAGGTAAGAGATGGAATATGGAGTTTGTAGAATAGCAAGACAGTAAGTGTGGCTGGAACATTGAGTAGATGAAGGGGAATAATGTGAAATGAGCATTAAATGGAGGATGGACTCAGATTGCAGAGGGATATTGTAATGAGGACCTAGCAAGCCAGGTTGTGTCTTACCCTCAACTTTTCCTTTCAATTTTCCAGGTGACCACGTGTGTCCTGATTCCTCTTGTTCTCCCAGGTTTCTTGATTGTGCCAACATGAGTGTCTGGGTCGGGGCTGGTGCATGGAATTGGGGGGTGGAGCGGCAGTCAGCTTGACCCACAGCATGGTAGAGCTGCCTTGTTTCGGCTGGCCAGTTCTGGCTGACCTGTGGCTGACATAGAAGGTGGGAAGCGGCAGTGGGAGACAAGTCATGACTCAGGCTGCTTTCTGTCTTCTTTGCCCCACAGTGCTTGTGACTTCAGTCTACTCTCTGAAGCCTCAGGGTGTGGAAAGACATGTCCTCCCTGTTCTCTGGTACTTCCTGAACAACATGATTGGGAACGGGGTCCTGCCAGGACATAGTGGCAACATCCGCAGTGTGGTGTGTCAGCTGACCAAGAGCCTCTATGAGCAAATGGGGACTCGACTGCAGGACTGTGCTGCTGGACAGCCAAAGCAAGTCAGCAAGATGCTTCAGGAAATCTTGGACTCAGACTTTCAGTGAGGCGGAGTAGGGACAGGGGCTGGGGGCCGGGGGAGGAACAAAAGGGGTGCCGCCCCCCACTTTGAGACCATTGGCAGCTCAAGAACTTTCAGCTGGATAAAACATGGATCTGAAATGGGCAATTATTTTTTTTAACTCTTATTTTTTTTCAGATAGAGGAATCTATTGGTAGAATAGATCTATAGCGTTTCAGATGTATATAGTTTATTTTGAGGTAGAATTAAAAAAAACACCTATTTTTCTAAGGTTTTATTTTCTTGCACTCTTTTATCCCCAGAAAAGTTTTCACAGATATTTTTGTAAAAAAAAAAAAAAGCAAAACCCCAAAAAGCAAAACACAAATACAAAAAATCATACGCAATCAATCATGAGTTATTCTGTGATGGTGTTAAAAAGGAAAGAAAAGGCAGGACATTATTTATATATGTTACAGTCTATCTGTGAACACCTGCCCATTTGTAGATAGACCAAACCCATCTATGAATGCTCAGATTAGTTATACTCAAATGGGTAGAGCTGTTTAGAGATGTCTAAGGCCATTAGGACTGTTAGGTCCAATTTGAGATGAGCTGAATAAATAGATGGGGCCAACTAATGTTCTTCTGCCCTTTGTAGTCGTGTAAGGAAAATCCTTAACATCTGAAGAATCCCCCTTTGGGATCATTATTTTGTGGGGTTTTTTGTTTATCATAAATTAGCACTAACTTGATATTTGCATTACTCTAGACCAATTTCACAGTGTGTCTGAAGGTTTTGGGGTTTTTTTGGGGGGTAGGTTTTGAGTAGCCCTAAATGATGTCCCACATTTAGTCATGGTTCTATTGTTCTTTCTCTTGCATGAGCATATAGGTTTTTAGTTTATGGAACATAGCATGGGATTGGGAAGGAATAAAGGAGGAAGGATGGGTCCCAGATGCAAAGAACTAGCACTTGTTGATTTCTGAGGGAGCAACAGAATTAGAGCCCTAATCTCAGGAATAGGATGTCTAGGGACTGAATGGATCAGTGGTAATTTGACAGAATTGGGCCAGGGGAAGAGTTAACTTGAGGCTATTCTCCTGACATACTGGAAAGGTAGAATCTGGAAATCAAAAGTCTCTGTGCTAATCTATAAATCAGCCCAAAGGAGGTTGGCACCTCTGGAAATGGTATCAGGGTGCTCAGTTCAAACTCAGGGCCTTTTCCCAGTCTCTATGGCTTCAGGGTTTGGAGCAGCCTCAGGAAGCCCCCACTTAAGTAAACCAGCTTTAGACTGGGGGCAGCTTCTGGGTGGTTCCAGGTTCCACACAAGGGGTTTTGAGTCTCTCCAAGAGGCCTGCGGAGAATTTGGGTTCAGGTTAGACTTGCCCAGCCAGACTTGCTTAGAGCCCTCCAGAAATTTCACAACTTTCCCACTCTCTGTAAATCTTCAGGTTTCACCCAGGACTGGATAGGGATTCCCCCCAGTCCCCAGGTGAATGTCTGTGATGATGTTAGGATGTTTTGGAGCTCATTTGTTTGGAGTCGGCACCTAGGTGTGTCCCCAGACATACCTGGGTCCTCAGGTTAGTAGCCTTCCAGCTAGGGGCAGGGGAGCAGGGTACTTCCAGCTGTTGGTTCCAGCTCCAACCAAGGGAGGTCAGAGTGCCGGTGGGGCAAGTGGAGGAGGAAGCCTGATAGCGCCCCCCAAAGGCACCAAGAGCCTACTCTGCCCCTACTTGTAGAGATGCACTCACCTGACTGACTGATTGTTTTATTAGCTGGGTATGTTTGATTATATTCCGAGCTACCTTGCAGGTTTCCTTCACCTTTGAGTGGGACATAGTGGATAGAGAGTCAGACTTGGAGACAGGAAGGCCTGGGTTCAAATCTTATTTCTGACTCTTTCTAACTATGCAAGTCATCACCTCTGAACTCCAGGCAGGTCTCTAAGACTCTAAGTTACCATTGTGGCATGCATCAGTGACTGACAGAATCATAGTCCTTGACTTGGGAGGGAACAATCCTTTCCATCATGGAAGTCGGCTTTTTTTTTTGGTAGGGGGACTTTGAGATAAGATAAGCTTTGTCTTTTTCCTCCTCTTGCCACTCCAACACTCATAAGAGTAGAGATAGAACTAGGAAGAAAGTAGAACCAACATTTTCTTTAAAACCTTGTAGCTTATCAAGAATCCAGAATCTATTGGGTGTTTTCTAGAGTATTTAGGAATATACAACTGCCAGGGCACATGTCTGGACTCAGTGACAGAACTATATTCTTTCCCACTTTGCCTTATCTCCAATCTCCAAGCCTCTCACCTTGAATACTTAGGTTCTGCCCCAGTGACTGGGGATTTTTTTTTAAAGTTCAATTAAGAGGCCAAGAATACTCACTTGCATACTTTAAAAAAATTTCCAATCTCTTAGGTCCTATTTGGTACTTTATTTAACCTGTGGACATGGCCACAAGGGCTGTACTCTTGGCAAAGACAGGTGTCATAGTAGTGCTTCTCGTATGCCTTGGGAGCTTTCCATCTCAAGCCATTCCCACATCATCCCTTTGAAAAAAAAAATGGTGCAGGCAATAGAGTGGCATGATCTTGGGCCACCTCTCTGGCAATTTCTTGGAGAGCTACAGGGCAGGAACAGGATGAGGTTTAATTTAGTACCACTGGTTATCAGAGCACGTCTAGTTCTTTATATGTAGAAATGAAGGCTGTTATGAACAGGATATAAACTCAAGTAGTTTTTTTTTTTTTTAGTAGTAGGTGTGGTTTCAAATAGCCACCCACACTCTCTTGCCTAATCATTCTTGTGGCCGATACGCCTACAAGATGACTGATGGGGATTGAGGATACAGTCTGTGACTGCAGAACAAAGATTTTCTCTGTGTAGGAAACACAATACGTGGGTTGAACCCACAGCCTTAGTTTCATTAATACTTACCCTGCTAGAGTCAACTTCACCACAGACTGACATAACCAAATAAGGCTTCACGTCCCCTTCCAAGGCCCCTGAATCTTTTTAAAGACATACCTGTCCTCCTCCGCACTCCCTTTACTTCCCAGATTCTTAGGCATAGAAAGATGGCAATACCACTGTTTCTAACCACAAAGGCTGGTACCTTCCTTGGGTCCTGCCAGGTGCTAAACTGAGTCACTGCTTTTGTTTAAACCATGAACGTGGAGTCAAAAGAGGCGGTACAGGACAGTGGGAATACCATTATCTCTGGAGGCAAAGGACCTTGGTTCAAATCCTACTTCAGATACTACTCACTGCATGACCTTGGGCAAGTCACTTAACCTGAACAGGCCTGTTTCTTCATCTGTAAAATAAGAAGGTTTGGACTAGGTGGCTGTCCAGCTCTACATCTGTAACCCTGTTATCCTAAGTTCTGTGTTTTTGCAGGTCTGTTTATTGTCCTGGTCTGGCATACAGCTGCTGCTGGGAGTGGATTGGGGATGTTAGAAGTCCAAGGCTTGGCCAGCTGACCAAAGGGGTGAAGAGGGGAATGTAGGTGAGAAGCGGTAAAGGAGGAGCAGAAAGAGGTATGATCACCAAGTCCAAACCCTGGTCTCTCACTGTCAATCCATGTACTCTAATTGTGCTTCAGTCATTCAGTTGTGTCCAACTTTCCGTGAACCATAATGTGTATGGGGCTTTCTTGGCCGGAATACTGGAGTGGTTTGCCATTTCTTTCTCTGGTGGATTAAGGCAAACAGGATTAAGTGACTTGCCCAGGGTGACACGGCTAGTAAGTGTCTGAGGTCAGATCTGAACTCAGATCTTCCTGACTTTAGGCTCAGTACTATCCACTGAGCCACCTAGCTACCTCCATGTACTGTAAAGAGATGCCTGGATGTGAAGTGCTAAGAAAAGATTAGATCAGGTGCATCAACTGAATAGCCAGGTAGGGTCCAGCAAACATGGGAAATTCAGTGGGGTCAAGATTGAGTCTGTCAGGGATACAAGGAGCAGACTGAAGTTCTGTCTGCTCAGGAATTGATAAGGACTATTGGCTTTTCAAGCCTGCCTTGCCCACACAGGACTGATGAGCCTCTGCCCGTGCTGGTGCTGCTGCTGCTGATGGTGATGGTCGGGTCTTCAGCAGCAAAGAGCTGGGATAGAAGAGCTTCTGTGGGCTCCGCTGTCCCGAGAATGTGAAATGTTTGCAAATGTTTGTTCTTCAAGGGGCTTTGAGGTACCTGGTACCCATGGGTGCTGTTATCTTCTGTACAGACTTTCAGAGAATAAAGTGTCTACCAACATTATGTGGACTCTATCTGGTATTTTGGTGTCTGTTCCCAGGAAGTGGTTTTATTTGGGCAGCGCTGTTCTTCAGAATCATTTACCCCAGAATCTGCCATGGGATGACTCTCCTCTCCTTCCTTTGTCTTTTAAGCCCCTCATCTTCCCACTACTCCAACACTTCTCTCACTATGGCCCGGGATAACACTCTTGTGCAGCAGGTTTCCTTGCACGTTTATCTGTCCCTCTGAGGAAGAATACAGAACAACATTTTCCTTATAATTCTTCTCCTTCCTCTCATGTAATCTCTAAACTTCAGTTTCCTCACCCATAAAAAGGGGATAATAACACTTGTCCTATTGAACTCATAAAGCTGTTGCAAGTATTTTTTAACCCTTGATTCAGGGCATAAATGGGTGTTATGGTTATTTTTTGGAACTAACAAGATGGCGCTAAGCAGAGGGTTCATGGGTTCTTTAAGGCTGGAAGGCTCCTCAGGGCTACCCTTTCAAAAAGGCAGAGTGAGATAAAAAAGTAGAGCAATTCCTTGATTAGGGCATTTCCTTTACTATAATTCTTTTCTTTCATTTGGAAATGAAAGAGAAATTATATGAATAAATATAGACTCCAAGTAAAGGAAAGGGAAAGCAGAGGCTTAAAGAAAGCAAAACCACCCCCAGGCCCTGAGTGAACAATACTTACCTTGCCATACTTTGCAGCTGAGTTGTGGCTCTGTCAAGAATTCAGGATGGGCAAGACTCCCAGACCCTGTGAATTCTGTCCGCCATGCTTATTGGACAGTTTGGTCTGTGGTTCCTGTCTAGCCTTTCCATGCTTCTCACATTGGCCTGGTTTCTCCTTTCGCCTCTCCCTTCTCCTCTGTATCCTGTTTAAAGGCAGACTCTGTTGAGATGTTGGCAATTTTTTTTTTATGGTTGTTACTTTGCCGTTTGGATCTGATGCCTCCATTTCCTTATCTTCTGAGCACTCAACCTGACCTGA